CCCCCCCCCCCCCCCCCGCCCCTCAAAACGTAGCCATCATGGTCATCAGCCATCCTACCCGCGGCTGGTAGTTTCATCTGGCGAAAGCACACGGCGCTCTCGACATACCAAGCCGAAATCAAGTCCTAAGCTCAAGAAGCTTGCTGACGGTGCTCCAAAAGCCCCGAGTACCAAGCCGAATATAGGAGTGACATGTTACCAATACTATTCTTTCGAGACATTGGTTGTTTATGAAATTGTAAAACGACCTAGGATCCTGTTCCAGTTATCAAGGTCCCCGTGTTGCTTTGCAGCGCCCTTTCCCGAACGTCGCAGCTCCGGAGCCACATTCCTTCGGAATTCCTGCATTGTAGTCCCGAAAAACGAAGATCTGCTGTGCAGAAAACTAATGCACTTCGGAGCTTAGGGCTTAGGCGTTATTCAATGAGGCATTCAATGCCATGCAATGCAGTGCTGTTCGATGTAGGATTTAGGGTATTAGTTTATGTTCTAGATATGTATATTCCTTGACGTTTTTGCAGTACACATGTGCCATTCGGCCTGTCCGCATATGTATGCTAACGTTTTATCTGCACGTAAGTGCATGCTGATCCGTACTTGTATAGTCCCGCTCGGCCCGACCCAAAGCGCGATTTTGGCAGTCTTAAGTCTCAAGTGCTTGATATTTGGCGCTGAGTTCTGAAAATCAGAAACGCCTCGAATATCCTTCAACCGTAGAACCGATAACGTCACACGCTTGACTCCCGAGCTCTCTGAAACCCTGAACCCCTATAGATAGATGCATAGGTAGATAGATNNAGACAGATAGATAGGTAGATAGACAGATAGATAGATAGATAGATAGGTAGATAGGTAGATAGGTAGATAGATAGATAGATAGGTAGATAGAGAGGCCTGAGAGGTAGATAGGTAGATAGGTAGCTAGATAGATAGGTAGATAGACTGATAGATAGATAGATAGATAGATAGATAGGTAGATAGGTAGACAGATAGATATATATATATATATGTATCTATATCTCTCTCTCTCTCTCTCTCTTTCTCTCTCTCTCTCATAAGTTGTCCATCCCCAGCTCACAGGATGACCTTCAGCAACGCCCGACGTGGCCTGGCGATGGCAAGGCCTCAAGTTTCTGGCCTTAATGGGAGAAGGTGGCTTCCCCAAGCTGAAGACACATGGGTAGGTTTTCTAAATACGGGTCCTTTTTAAGGTCCCCAATATAGTACGGCGCCCGTATAAAGAAGGGACCCAGAAGGGACCATGATTTAGAGAATTACCAACATGATAGCTTGAATCCTGCATTGAAAACTTTGAAGCCCAAGCCTTGTTCGGCTTTTCTTGGGGGTGAAGTGTTCAGTGGATTTCGGTTACCTACACCAAACCCAAACGCAGCGCAAGCTCCCAAATGCGGACCCTTCTCCTGCTCCAACCCAGATAGGGAAGAGAAGACCAGTCTCGAAACTTGAAAAACAAGTTCTGGTTTGTCTGTTAAGCGGAGTATAAGTTCTCAAAATCCCAGGTTGCTTTTAGTTTTTTACATGTTTTTGCCAAGCCCTGTAACTAAGACTTTTCATGAACATATAGTCGGAACTTTCAGCTGAGTTCATGTCAGACTGCCATTCATATTTCGTAATTGCGGTTGGCCGAAGACAGCGAGGGGTGCGGCACGACACGGAGTTTAGCGTTTCGGGCGCCTTAAACCCCAAGCCGTCGTAAGGCATGGGCCGGGATGAGTTCTGCTTGTGCGATAGAGGCTTCGGGTTTCCACTTTGTTGTACATTTGGGTGCCAGGCCACGGAAACGTCCTGTGCGTCTGATGAGGAACTGTACCCAGAGAACCCAATACCCCTTAATTAAGGAATATACCTTGAATCATCGGGCCCTTCATATTATGATTTAAGGTATATTTCTTAATTAAGCGGTATTGGGTTCTCTGGGTAAGGCTGTAAGGGCAGACATTCCAACCTCCTCAAGCTCTACACCCTGAGCCCTTTCCCCAGGTCCCTTATGCTAGAAACCTTTACAAGAGCCCTTGCAGATGCAGAACCCTTAAACTCCCTTGAACAAAGAAACCTTCCCTTCCCCCCCTCCCCCAGCCTCCACCCGAAACCCTTAGCCACTTAGCCCTGAGCTCCAGGGAGGCGATGTCATTGCAAATTGCAGCACGGCAGCCAGTGATTTGTGGAGCTACGGCCTATACGGTTTAGGGTTGAGTAGGTTGAGGGTTGAGTAGGGTTCTAGGATTCCGTGATATCGCTCAGTGTTCCTGTTGATTCAAGACTGCCTCACATATGTTTGTATGTATGTATATATATATATATATATGTGTATATGTCGGTCTTTATGTATTCGTTTATGCATGTATGTATGTATGTACGTATGTATTTATGCATGTATGTTTGTATGTACGTATGCATGTATGTAGATGTAGAGATATATGCCTAGATGTACAGGTACAGATCTAGAGTAGCTTGGCCTAGTCTAATTAGGTTTTGATTTGTCTAGGTTGGACTAGTCTAGGCCAGACTGGGCTCTACTGGAGGAGATGAAAGTAGGTTAGATTCGCTTAGATTGGCAGGCTGATACATATAGATCGGTAAGTAGGTAGGCAGGTAGATAGGTACATAGTTCGGTAGTTAGGTAGATATGGTGATAGGCAGACAGATAGTTCATACTATAAGGTGCACACCACATCTTTAGTTTTGACTCATCCCCGTAAATATATGTTCATGTTTATTCCTCGTCACACCAGGCATCTAGAGTCTAGGGTCTCAAGGCGTAGAGGGTTTCGCTTTGGTGCCCACAAATGGTTAATCTTCCAAAATGCCAAAACCCTGAACCAATGGTCCCCAAACCCCAAATCCCAAAACCAAACCCCTAATCGGCCCTAGCGCAGGTCTCACCGTTCTTCCTCCTTAAGACGGTCATCAAGTCCCTGGGCAAAGCAGCTCTCATCATCAAGGAGAAGCGACGAGCCCCTTGGTGCCAGTTTAGGGCTTTCAGTGTCAGAGGTTAAGGGCTACCGGGCTTAGTATTGCGGGTTAATGTTTAGACAGTCCCAGGCGATCTAGAGTCTTGTCCTGCGAAGGCTGAGTTGAAGAAGGTTACGGAATGCACTCCAACCAAGCTTCTGAGAGATTTTACAGGGTTGCGCTGGACTTCGGGGCCTTTCAAAGTTGATGACAAGCACCTCTATTTGCCATTGCAGGGCCACCAGTTGATACACACATATATATATATATATATACAAATACGTATACATATGTATGTATGTATCTATCTATCCATCGAGCTAGCTAGCTATGTGTATATATATATATATACATATTATTTAATTGGTATATAACTGTACATATATATATGTATGTATATACACAGATACATATCCAACCACGGCATATATATATATATATATGGTACCCCCCCCCATGTGCCTA